GGACGCGAGCGACCCGTTGACCCTATTTCACGGACGCCCTCCTCTTGATATCACGGGCGAGCTCGTAATAGCACGGGACGGGTTTTTTCCGTACAACGTTAGGAGCCTGCGGACGATAGTCCCGACGTTCGTAGTAGAGAGCGTCTTTGGAGGTATTGGTGGAGTGGTCGAGACATACCTGGCCTATCAGGATCTCAAGATCCTGGCGAGAAGGCCTGCCGACCTAGAGTACATCTATTATTCGCTTGCGACCGGTGGGCCTCGTTGGGGAGACGAGAGGGCTCAGCTTATAGAGCTGATCCGCTCGATAGACGACGAGTGGCCCCAGTCTTCGTGCGTTTGGGATTGGCTAGACCGTGAGCTCCGAGCAGGCCCCGAGTACGTGATTTGCATTGGGCGGCTCTTCTCAGACGACTGGGGGAGCTGGTGGAGTGAGGACGCCGGACGACCTCTGATATATGGCTATCAGCTGACGGAATACTACCAGGTCATAGGACAGGCGCCATACCGCGTCGAGGACGAGTTTGACGACGAGGGTTGGGAGCGAGAAGACGACGAGGAGCTGTGGGAGCCAGACTGGGTCGACCCAGAGAGGGAGGTTGACGAGGAGGAGATTGACGTTATAGACGCCCATTTTCCTAGGATAGGAGTAGCAGTCCGGGCGTAGGAGGTAGAGGAGAGCGCCAGAGCGACGGATGAGTGAGCCTGGTCACTGAACCTATTCGAGCATACTGGACCTGAGTGCGAGAGTTGTCAGAAGGGTTAGTAGCGTCGAGAGATGGGGTGTATCGGAGGGAGTAGAGTGATGCTGACCGAGAGTAGGAGAAGAAATGAGGAGTGATTCAGCAGCCTGGCTAGCTTATGTTTTCTCACGAGAGTCCGAATCGTATAGCGTGAGGAAGCTTGTGGGACCCAGAGAGACGGCAGTTGGATACGACATACCACTTTCTGTGGCGTTAGAGGAGGCAGGGCGTGTACCGATACGATACTTGGGAACGTGGCTCGCAGAGGGGCTCTTCCTATGGACAGTGATACTACGAGACGAACGACCCGAGAGGACTCATGATCTAGAAGGGGTTGGACATCTAACAGCGGATAGAACACACGATTTAGAGATAAGGCTAACGCTCGCAGGGGCGAGCAGGAGTTGGTGAAGAAGCGAGTTGTTGGCCAGAGTGATCGTTAATCAGCAATTGGCGAGACTCGTTGGAGGGAGGACGAGTAGGAGCTGCTTGGTATACGGTCCACCACATCCGACCCTCTACCCGAGAAAGGATTGGCGATTCGGAGTTCYTACCTTCGTGATAGGGCAGACCTATGGGAGCGTGGATCGTTTGAGAAGAGCAGTGGATCACACACTTTACGCGCTCAGGGAGGGTTTAGCGCCCCGCTTCAAGGAAGTATACTACGCCATTTGTGTGAGGTGGGGGCCTCCCAATAGAGAGGCGCTTAACGACATCATTGATGTTACGAGCTGGGTGGACTGTCTGAGGCCTATCGATCTGATTAGGTATTGCAGGAGACGGGCAGAGAACGATTACGCGGGGCTAGAGGATGCGAGATTTCTCTTCGAGGTCGCAGCTTAGGGAATGTCGGGAAGGACGGTCACGGTGTTGCGTGTAGAAGAGCAGCTGGTAAGCACAGAATACACGGTGACAGTACTTCTCCGAGCGTACTTAGACGAGGACTTGACGACGAGTGAGTGCAGACAACGAGCTAGGGATTTGATCCACGAGCGTAGAGCTGATGTACTGGCGCGAGTGACCTTCCAGACCTCGATTACCTATGATGTGATGATATGGTCTCATGGTTATATGCGCTTGGAGCACTACCACGATGAGACGGTAGAGGAGGCTAGAGCGAGGGTGAGAGGGTGAGCTGGAGAAAGATGTGGACTGAGTATGGAAGAGGAGAGAGAGGCAGTCAGAAGAGTGAGAAAGCGCGTTAAAGAACYACTCTTGAASCAGGTAAAGAAGTTGGGGGACAAGTTWAGGGAGATTTGGTCGTGTCAAGACGAGGGCAAGTTGCGAAGGGCTGAACTCGTGACAAGAGAGTTAGACAATCTGTTTAGGGAAGAAAGAGAGATTATCCAGGCGTGGAGATCAGACTTTCTGGAGAGGGTAAAGGTTAGATGCGTATCACGCGAAGAAACTAGTAAGCGATCTGCAGAAAGCGAGACAACGGAAGACAAAGTTACGCAGGGGAGTAGCGACGGGACATGAGTGGGACTGCACTACACACGACGGATTGGTACTCATTACATGTGGTAGGGAGACTGGATGGACCATTAGTGTTAGTCATCATAGAACTCCAGCTCCATACAAGACTGTGCATAGTTGAGGAGACAGAGTGTTTCCGCCGTGCCCTGCGGGAGGCAAGGGGGACAGGACTTTGGATTGGAGTAGAAGGAGGACGGAGGATAAAATACGTACTCCGAGTAACACCCTTCGAAGGGCGGTCTCGGATAAGAGCATGGTACGAGACGACCAGAGAGGCTGAGAGGTTGAAGATAAACGAAGCCAGGAAAGTTGGAGAGTCAAGGAGAGTAGTAACAGATGGTGCAATACTCAGGGTGTTAGCCGCTCACAACCGGTACTGGAAGGAAGCGATGAAGACTTTAGAGGCGATAGATGAAGGGGGACATAGTGAGGACTTTGAGACATTTTATGACATATTGGAGCGGTCGGCAATGAGGCTACAGGTCGTTATAGCACTAACTTATCTTAGCTGTTAAGAGATGACCTCATTACTGTTGAGGAGATAAGGTAGTGGAAATAGAAATTGAGAGCTCTTGGAAGGATAGTGGAAGCTAGAAAGGTCGATAGGCGACATTGGGCGACAGTAAGAGGACCTTTAGCGGGCTAACCGATTCAGGCTGGGCTAGGAGAACTAGCAAGGAGGACGGAGAGAGACGCTTAGGGACTCTTGAGAAGTGTTGATCAGGAAACATTGGTTAGGTTTGGGATTGCAATCTGTCTCAAGGATAGAGGTCCTGTCACGGGTGTACTGTGGATTCGGACAGGCACGACCTTGTTGACCGTTCCCGAAGTAGAGGTTACTTAGACACAGGGATTCTTGGGATAGAGAGAGAACACGAGATCTGCGACCGGAACGGGATACTGGAGGTAGTAATCAAGGCAGTCGAGAGCTAAGATTGGAGACGGGCGTGAGTTGTGACAAAGAAACAGGTCCGGGCTGCCGCGACTGTCACAGGTCCGGGCTGCCGCGACTGTCACAGGTCCGGGATGCCGCGACTGTCACGGTCCGGGCTGCAGCGGCTGTCATAGGGTCGGGCTGTAACAGTTGGCTAGAATACCTAACTGCACCTTCTGACGGTCCAATGGAACCCGACACGATGGGGCCACAACCGACCACGAGCGAAGCGGGAGAAGAGTACAGAGCATCGCCCGATCGAGCACTGAGGGAACTGAAGGAACGAATTAGGCAAGAAGCACCGCTAAGATGGGCTGACCAAACCAATGACGGAGGGCCCGACATGAGAGGTGAACCAGTTGCGACAGAGTTGCAGGAGGTTCTAAGGACGGGTACCTCGAGCGGACGACGAGAAACGACGAGACGACGCTCCCCCGAGTACGAGCGGAGGGACACCATAGCGGATAGGCACAGAGACGACTAGAGAGAGAGTTTGAGAGATTCCTGTTGGAGGGATAGAGATAGAGACAGGGCGCCGCCCAGGCGAGTCTTCGACCCTCAGACAGGGGAGTCACATCCGGTCCCTTACGAGAGCAAGGATCGCTATATTATTACACACAAGGCCTCAGAGCCTCCTACTTTCAGGGGTTATGGTATCACTGAATATCTGGAAAAGTGGGAGCTTCACGCCAGCCGGAGTCAGTGGTCGGAGGAAGAGATTATAGAGAACTTCCTATTTAATGTCGACCCAAGTCTTGGAAGAGAAGTTAAGGAAGCTCGACAGAAGGATGGAAAATGGACTACGTACAAGAAGAACCTCGTTGAGCTTTACAAATTGGAGGATAACAAGTATTCCATCAAGGACCTTGAAACGATGACTCAAGATGAAGATGAGAGCGTACGGGCATTTGGGATGCGTTTCCAAAAGATCTCCGACGTGCTGATGAAGAAGGGGAAAATCTCAGAGGTCGAACGCTGTACTATCTTCATCGGACACTTGTCCAAAGGTAGGCAAAGGAGTATACTTAGAGATCTTCCGCGCGACAGGCTTGATTTCCCAGAAGTCCTAAAGCTTGCGATAAAGGCAGAGGCAGACGATTACAAGGACTTGGTGTGGAGAGGGATGAGGAGACGAGACTTCTCTCTCTACAAGGAGTATGCCACTGATAGATGTCCAGATTTCAAGGACTATCCCTGGTCGGAAAAGAATGAGGCCGTGGCTGAGGAAGTGAAGGAGATACGGGACATGGTGAAGGGATTAACGGGACAGGTTACAGAGATTGTGACCGCTACAGGGGCCACGGCCTACCGGGACAAATGTGAAGGGCCCTATTCACTTCGCTGGGACCGTAGGAACAACGATCCCTGGAGGAGTGTCGACGATAGAAATCCTCGGACGCTGACTGATTATCGTACGAGGGGAAGAAAAAGAGACGATGAGCCATGGCGACGTAGGGACGATGAGATAGACCGAGACCGCAGAGATCGCGAGCCGTTTGTGCGAGCAAGGAGGCTGGATGATTACCCACGAAGCCCTCGCTATGAGGCCGATCAGGGAAGAGGCGACTCCCGCAGCCGATGGGAGACAGAACAGAGCCGACGAGATGGATATAGGGATGACAGATATGAGAGATCGGATCGAGATGGATATAGGGACGACAGATACGAGAGGTCGGGTCGAGATGGCTACCGAGGAAGTAGATATGAGAGAGGAGATCGGGACTGGGAACGACAAGATGGGTCGCGGGGACAGTTTGAGCGCGGGGGAGAAGCGAGAGAGCAGCGCGACGAATCGCGGGGGTGGTACAACCGAGGGGACCGACGCGATGAGTCACGAGGACGATATGACTCGGGGGACCGCCGGAATGATTCGCGAGGGCGGTATGAACAAGGAGGGCTTGGAGGAGACCGGCGCAACGATCCGCGCGGTCGGAATGAGAGGGGGGGATATGGCGTCTCATCAGAACCATATCCCAAGTCGCCTGACCCCAAGGCGGTCAGGAGTTCGATCTCTAGAGGCGCAGACGACACGGCACCTACTCCGAGGAACTCATGTGTCTACTGTAGAGGAGAATATCATATCAAGAGGGATTGCCCGGACCTTAAACGGGCAATAAAAGAGGGACTTGTCGTGCTTGACGACCGCAAGTACGTCAAGTGGGCAGATGATCTCGGAGATGTATCGATGTTCCCTTCGATGAAGGAGAATAACGAAGCAAGGAGAATAAAGACGAGTAAAGGAATGGAGCCGGTCAGGAGCCAGAGCATCAAGATAACCATTGAGGGGGACATGGCGACCACACCCATAAGGGTGGAAGCCACCAAGTCGGCGAGAGGGTCTACATCGAAGAAAACTGACACGGATTACGTGATGGCGGAGAAGGACGGGCAGCGGGTCGATGGAGAGGAGGTTATTCTTTCGCCGCGAAAGCGGGGAGTGAAGAAGTTCTTAATGAAGAGCTCGCTGGACGAGATTGACACGGTCGAGCCATTGAGGCGGGCCCTTCGGCAACCCATGCAGTGCTCTATTCTGGAGTACCTGGCGGCATCGAAGCCGGCTCGTGATGAGTTACAGATGATCACGCGGAAGACTCGCATACCTCTATCGGAGGAGGGTCACGCCTCCTAAGGTGGAAGCTTCTACAGTAACAGTAACGGGGGTGACTGCCAGAGCGGATCGCATGGCGACAGTCCTTCTCGATGGAATGGAAGGTGTGCCTCCAGACAAGTTTTATATGCTTGGTAGCGGGGCCATGGAAACGATTATAAACGAGGAAGCGGTACTCGATGATGTGATTGATAACGGCAGTGAGGCTGTCATCATAGTCGAGGACCTGGCGGTACAAGTTGGACTGGGCCTCGATAGGTCATACCCATTCGAGATAGAGACGACTGATGGGAGAAAGCAACAGATCACTAGGGTTTGTCACAAGGCAGTCATAGAGGTCCAAGGGGTGCGAGTGACCCTGCCTGTCTTTGCAGTCAAGAACTGCAGCTCCGACCTGCTCTTGGGTCGAACGTGGCTCAACCATGTGCATGCGGTGACGATAGAGCGACCTGATGGGAGCCAAACATTGTCCATTAAGAAGCCAGACGGGACGCGGGTAATGATTGAGACAGTGGAGCCTCGGGACCCGAGGAACAGAGCAGCTCTCGCTGTGGGTGCAAGACCTAGTGATCAGATTAAGTCGTTGCCTATCTCCAGCCGCGCGGTGCGATTTCACGAGAAGAAATATGGACCACTGCTCACAGAAGAAGAAGGTCGGATGGTGGAGGTGGGAGGTTTAGGGAGTCGGCTAATAGTGGACGGCAACTCGTACCCAAAAGAAAAAGATGAGGAATTTGGCGGTGTGGTATCAGTGTCTTTTTTAAGGGCACGGCCCCCTATGGGGGGCTACCCAAGCGACACAAACGAGTAGCGCAAAAAGTTAAGCCAGCGGCAGGGGGCCGCGAGCGATCTGCACTAGAAGGGATATCGGAAGAAGAGATCGCAAAAGAAATCAAAGAAAGAAAGAAAAACGAGCCGCAACGCCTAACGGAAGAGAGAATAGCAGGGATGGACATCGGAGATGGAAATCTGACCCCATAGGAGCGAGGACCTGTGATAGAAATTATGAAGACATGTGATAAGGCAATAGCGTTCAGCGATGCGGAGCGAGGTAGGATTGACCCTCGATACGCTAAGCCAGCGAGGATTTATACGATTCCACATGTTCCTTGGAATGACGCAGGATGAAAATACGCCCAGAAGGAGAAGGAATAAGTTATCGCTTTCCTGAAAGAAAAGATGGTTTCCCACGTTGCGGAGCCGTCTGATAGTGCTTATGCAAATCGATGGTTCTTCCTGCGTAAGCCGAATGGCAAGATCCGATGGATCCAGGACCTTCAGAAGGTCAACGCGGTGACGATACGAGACGTGGGCTCCGTGCCACACGCCGATTTACTGGCAGAAGGCGCAGCAGGTAGGTCGATTTATTCGGTCTGTCATCTGTTCTCAGGCTATGATGAGGTACCGCTTGACCCTAGGGACAGACACCTCACGGCTATGCATACGCCATTGGGACTAATTCAGATGATGGTCATCCCTATGGGTTGGACCAGCGTTGTCGAGCGGGGAACCCCGGGGGCAAAGCCGGTGTTAGGCTGCGGACCCCGGACCCCCGCCGCGGGGTTCATCCAACCCCGCCACCGCCGGACGACCCCCGCCGCCGCCCAGCCCCGGGTACCCCCGGGTACCCCGCCGCCTAACCCCGCAGGCTCGCCACCGGCCCCGCAACCCC